CGTTGTGCGATACGTAATCATCTCCGTCAGGATTTGGGGAGGACGGATTCTAAAGCTGTAGAGAAGCACTGCGCCTGTTCGCTCCTTCCTACTACTGCTGCTTGCGACTGACTTGGGCCCTCCAAAACTCCGACAGGTACGAACAAACTGCTTCGTGTGTGGTCGAAGATGGACTGCATCTTTGTACAAGCCCAACATGCCACCATGCACAACATTCTGCTGCTGCCGTTCACCTGTCGCCGCCCTTCCACGTCTACCTGTCCATGAAACATGCTGCCACTTGATGCGACAACATCTGGGAACAACACGAACACAGGGAGTACTCCCCCTACCCATACACAACACCGTCAAAACTGCTTGTAAGCTAGAACAACTCTCATTTCTCTCTTTCCACATGCGTTTCTTCGCCTTTTGTCTTTTTGTCTTTTTCTCTCTTTTCTGTGCCAGATGGCCTTGTCTCTGCTTGCGTTGTGATGTACCAAGATTGAACCAAGGGGGTGTACCTCATTCTCTCCGGCCCGTGATGGTGACTCCTAGTCTCAGTTGTTTCCTCGTATATCGGGGAGAGGGAGTGGAGGATTCCAGAATATCTGTCGTTGATTTCTATTGACTTGCGGACCCCTCGGGGCAATTTTATTTGAGTGTACCTTTTTAGGGTAAGTCAACCTGCGACCACGGGAATCGACCGCGTCGAGTGTTGGATCAGTACGGACATACGGAGGTACTGGGTAAGGGGAGATCGGAACGGTTTTTAATGTGAAGACAACAACAACAACAACAACAACAACAACAACATGCAAATGATGTAGATGCATGAAATGATACACTCCGTCTCTTTACTCATGGTCCGCGCTGCCTACAAATAAATGGGAAAGTTAGCTATACCTTCTGCCGACACACGGGCGAGAGAGGCGACCATACCCACTGCATTCAACACACACCCACATGTCAGTGATGAAACCCCGACCACACGCCTCTATCGGCGGCCACGTCAGGAGGCAGTGGTGAGATAATGTTCTCCCGTGCCCTTCTCACATTGAACGACATGCCATTAGTCTACACAACAAGGTAAATATGTTCTCCCGCGCCGCACATGCCCCCATGCATCACACACAAAAAATAAGTTGACGAAAATATACACAGCCCGAGACGCGCTTGCTCCGCAACCACATCAGGGTGCTAATAAAATAGAACACCCGACAAACCGAGTTCCCCTAAATCTTCCGTCTACAACTGTTAACTTCCCAACATAACATACAGATAGATACACAAGGTGGCTACCAAACTGCCTTGTTGAGCCTGTTACCCACAGGGGAGTTATCGTTGTANGAAACCCCGACCACACGCCTCTATCGGCGGCCACGTCAGGAGGCAGTGGTGAGATAATGTTCTCCCGTGCCCTTCTCACATTGAACGACATGCCATTAGTCTACACAACAAGGTAAATATGTTCTCCCGCGCCGCACATGCCCCCATACATCACANTCTCCCGCGCCGCACATGCCCCCATGCATCACACACAAAAAATAAGTTGACGAAAATATACACAGCCCGAGACGCGCTTGCTCCGCAACCACATCAGGGTGCTAATAAAATAGAACACCCGACAAACCGAGTTCCCCTAAATCTTCCGTCTACAACTGTTAACTTCCCAACATAACATACAGATAGATACACAAGGTGGCTACCAAACTGCCTTGTTGAGCCTGTTACCCACAGGGGAGTTATCGTTGTATGCTGTCTGGGAAACCGCAGACATACAGGTAGCCTTTCGCTCACGCTATGGATTCATTGCTAATCTATCTTAGACTTGTTCCTATAGATAGAGATGGATTTGTTGTGTGATATTAAGAAAATAAAAAAAGGGTGCTTCCAGTCAAGGTCTTGGTTGTACTAATACCGACCACATGTCAATATTTCACTTTCTAATTCGTAGAAATCGTGGTGTAAATCGTTATCAACCATTTTGCATGCAACTTGGCTGGCCCAGCTTGTGGAAGGAAGTTTGTTTTGACAGCGGGTACGTACATGATAGGCAGGTTTCTCTCGATGGTAGGTGTGATCTGGACTTGGGAAGGCGTAATATGTTGTGTGTTCGTTTGTGATCATCGGTCTGCTGGTTTTGGAGCAATGGGTTGGACCCACTCAACATCACTAAACGCCCGCCGCCAGGTTACACATGGCGCATGACTATACCCACGGTGCACAGGTCTTATGGGCCCGGCTCCTCCAGGTTTTCATAGCTGGTCTCGGATCACCGTCCCAGCGGTGATGTGATTTTTGGTAGTGTTATTTCTCTGTCTGTCTCGGTATTTTCTCCTGGTTCAATCGCGCACGCGCGCGATCTCCGCTTTCGTGCACGCCGTTTCGCGGAGAAACCCCGGGGTTGAGGAGCAAGATCTACGAATTTAGGGCACAAACGCTTGTGTGGCACGGCCATCCGCTATCGGAGCACGACCAAACCGGTGTGACGCAGAGGGCGCTCTTTTTCTTCCTCAGAAGCGAGCAGATCGTGAATCGGTGCCCTGTAGATGTCGTTCTGGTCCCAAAAGTGGGTTGGGTTATAATATCGGCCTCACGGAAACCAAGTTTTGGGGCCCCTGCATCGTGCGGCGCAACTTTGGCCGAAATACTTAGCCTTTTTTCCCTCCTGGGGACGAAGGAAACACATGTCGCTCTTCGCGCTCCGCGACCCGCTTTTACTAGTGTGCTATAATACCTTCCTGTGTGTCCTCGACTGCTCTGCATGCGTCCAACAGGCACACCATAAGGTGCGCAGTAGTGTCAGATGGGACAAACATGCACACTAAATCATGGAATAATATCTGCTGCGACAGCAGCTACCCCACTTGAAAACCTGGTCGCCAATCAAACGCCGTCTGGTGCAGGTGCAGAGCAGTGGCTGCTGCTCAAGCAAAGCAACTCCTTTCTGGGTGCTGGGCTCTTCTTCCCCCCTCCAGACCCAAAATTCACGCTCATTCACGTTCCTGATCGTATGCAAATCACCCCGAGGTGCAAGCTACCTAGGACGCCTGTCGAAGACGAATCCCTGCTGTAACAGGAACCCCTATACACGTGAAGGGATTTTCGATTCGCTGGACCTCCATTCCAATTCCTCCTCGTTCAAAAGCACAATTTTTCAGACAAGTTTCGTCCGCATTGGGTCTGAAGCAAATCGGTTGAAGGCATCGACTATCTGTTTGCAAGCACCAGTGTAGACTTGCCCATCAACCACCCACACCAACAACACCGAATGGTACGCCTTGGGGGGGTATAACTACAGATGACAGACTCCAACCACACAGAAAACATATTTATACAACAGAAACTCGGCAAACTGAAAACAAATTACAACTCCAGGACGAACTCTTGGTCCGTGGAAGGGTGCCCTAATGCGCCTCCGGCCCTCGTTGAACCTCCGAAGGACGACAGGGAGGGCTCTCGATGAAGGCGCTTTCAGACACGGAAAGCCCGGGCAAACCAGGACCATACAACACGATAACACCCAACAAACGGAGGGACGGGAAATAAGTTTAATTCTTGAGTCACTTACACAATGAACGCTGGATTACAGGCGCAAGATAATGACCAGCCGGCTAATACGCGGAGACTGGCGGTGGGTAGCCCTCACCAAAGCAGCCTCCGCACGCACAGCCAGTAGGAACGAACGCTGCCAATCAATGTAGCGAGGAGCAAGCTTTACGCGGAACCACTGCTATGCCTTCAAACCGGGCCGCCTTGCGGCGCAGCCACGTAGGGAAGCTCACCTCTTGTGCCCGAGGCGCTACGTACGTGTTGTTCAGCAAGCTCACCGCCATGGTCTTGATCGACCGCACTGCATGAAAGGCGCAAAGTCGAGCAACGGCAAGCACCAACGATGAAGAACATGTGGCCACAAGAGAGACACCGGCAAACAACATGCGTCAAATCCTCTTTTAACCCCCGGCCCAAATGTACTTAGAACTGTTCCCAAACAAGCAACAATCTGACAAATGCGCGGGCAAGAATATTGAAACAACGCGCTGAGAATCGCAATCCTGCATGCATCAGTCTACCACGCGTGTCTTCGCAACACTTTCAGCAAAAGCAGGGCAACAAATGCACGCACGTGTTAGGCAGTGCAACAAAGGACGGCCTGGTATCCGGCATAGCGGGACAGGGTGTTAACGTTCGACAAAGTTGTCGGGAGATGTCGGAACACATGTCATGGGGACTTGACACCCTCCTTGACGTGTCGTCCACCGAAAACAACACATCGTAACTGAAGGTCACAGGCAAATGTGGGGTCAACACCGCTGGTTACTCGAGCTTTACATCACTCAACGCCCAGCAGTGTGGCGGGCTTGGTACAGGCCAAGCCCGAGCTTTGCTCGCCTTCCAGCGAACGCATCGAGTTTCCAACAACAGGAGACTACAGTGGCACGCGTAGAGGGACTCTGTTGTGCCCGTAATACGACGCTGCCTTTTCCTACCAAAAGACTTAGAGAGCCGCCCCCACTTCTTAGAACCCGATCATGATGACATTTAGCACTCCATCGCTTCGACTACATTTGAGTATTCGATAGTCAAACGGTATGCGAGAGCAAGAGTCGAGCCTGAGGTCATAGACAACCGCTTCAACAGCGGTGCACGCCGTGCTTCTCTTACCGCCCGATCGTAGGGTCTCGACGTCGTCTTGCCACTCCGCAGCAGACGGCTCGTTCCCGGAGTGGCACACCTCCAAAGCGGCGTTGATATCGGTCTGTGCGAGCAATTCGTTAAATAACGCGGGATTGTCAAGGTAAAAGCCAGCCTTGCATCGGTAGGGGTAAACCGAAATAAGAGGAGAATCGACATATCCGTGTGTCACTAGCAACCCGAACCAGGGTTGGAGGTTGCCAGGTTTCCAACGCCACGCAATTGCGCCACCTGGTAATGTCAGCTACACAGCAGTTTTCTGAAGTTTGAGAGGTTGGGGATTCGATCTTAGCAAAGTTGTGCATCACCAAGCTCCCCTCCTAGTTCTTCCCACGGGTCGGTGCATATTGACAAGCCGACCCAACACTACTGTGACACCATGGACGCGTCATTTGAAATGGGACAACCGCAGAACAGCAATATCGGTCGACCCTTCGAAACAGGTGTGCTTGCGGAGAAATGAGTAACATGAGATGAGCGGGACTGGACAGCGGCCTACACACACCGGTCGCCCCGGTGGTCTAGTGGGTAGCCTCGTAGCCTGCTAAGGGCCAGGTCATGGGTTCGAATCCCGACAGAGTGAGTTTTGCTCGCTAATTAAATCCTGGTCTCCGTTGGAAGCGACGCGCTGCAAAGCTCGTTGTTAGTAAACTTGATCGACTTCATAAGTCGCGAGGGAAGGGATTGCTGTACCCTTCTCGCGATAGAAATATCTCAGGCAGGAACCGCAGGAGGGGGTCCAACCCCCCCCCTCCAATGTGACCCCGGTTGGGTCGTCTAGCTAGTAGAAGTGGAGGATAGGGGCCAGAGGGGCAGACGACAGAGTCCAATGATGGGAGAAAAACAAAACAAACAAACAAAAAACATATCGTGTACAAGTGGTCTCCAGGTTGTGCGCGGTTGCTGCTGCAGACAGCCATACCAATTTCAACAATACAAAATAGTTGGTTTGGCAAGGGCGCGAGGAGACGGGGTGGGAGCGCGTGGGAAGGATCCGTGGGGTCTCGCTGGACGCTTGCAAACCATCGCACCAGCACCAACAGACCGGGCTAATGATGTACAGAGTGTTTAATGTTCCGCACCTTGATCTCCTCCAGCTTGGGGTCTAGCTTGTCCGCCAAGGCACTCGCTTCCGCGTCGAGAGCCCCGCTCACGCCCCCGACGAACACCGCTGAAGGGAGGCCGGTCACGGCGCGGGCTACTGCCTCCGCATTGAGCGGAGCCTCCGAGGGTGCCATTGATATCACGGTTTTAGGTTGTTCCTGAAAAGGCACTTGACTGGAAGGGAACCGTGTTTTGTTTCAGCGCAGAGAAGGGCAGCCCATCAATGTGTGGCAAGAGGCCGCACGGGTTACTGAGTACTCCACGGGTTCGGTTAGCATGAGCCTCTTGGAAACTGCCTGTGGGCTGTCACTGCTGCACTGGCCGGGCAAGACCAAAGATGCGGCAGGGGTCCCCACAGACAGGAGTATAGACGAAACGACATGTCACCCTCCCGGAAATATGGGGCGAGTGACGATTCACACGTCACGCAAGCACCACACGCAGCACCAGCAGTGTGGCATCAGCAGTCCGTACTGGGGGCAGACCAGAGCGCACGGCGAAGAGGCCATGCAAAACACAATTCGTACGCTCAGATCACGGGTGCTCTCGCTGGGTACATCGGCTGCTGATGGGAAGAACATCGTAGCCTTTTCCGGCGGCGTGGATTCGTCCTTGGTGGCCGCGTTGGTGCATCATGCCTTTCCGAGGAGCAGTCAGGCCTGCGTCGGCGTATCATCGGCGCTGCCTGCGGCCCAGCTCGACCTTGCACGCAGCGTAGCGAGCCAAATTGGTGAGCTCGTGGCGATAACAGCAGTGTATGGTTGAGGTTCTTCGGTTCAACAGCGATTTTGCGTATGCCGTCAGGTCGAGCTTCTGGAAAGTTGAAGCGTGTGTGCGTGGACGAGCACCGGTCTCTGATGTTCTATAGTGTTGCAATAAGAAGTAGCTTGTTTGCACGGACATATTGTAGCTGCGACACGGTTGGAATCGAGAAAGGACGCAAGAATCTCGTCATAGCTCCGCGGTCCTGGAACCTACAGCAGTCATGCATAGATCGTGTAAACATGACGCCGCTGATTACGCCGCATTTTTTGCCCATTTTTTCTAAGACACGCCGCTGCTGCATGCCGCATCTTCGCCAGAATTGCACACCGAGACTTCGCTCCCAGACCAACAGAAGTTATTCCAGAAACAACCATATGATCCAGGGGCAAGCGTGTCTTCTACCCTAACCACTCTTTTCAAAACCAGACCTAGAGGTCGACGCTCGGAGCAATAGCGGGTGTGTTGTGTGTGTTTTCGTCCTATTTATTATGGCGACAGTCCCCCCATTTTTCGTGGTGAGACGTGTACTACACTTTTCAGCGTATGTAGAGTACTATACTTTTCAGTGTATTTTTTCGTACCGTACAACTACAACCATCCAGGGTCACACAGGAGGGGGTAAACACCAGCGCTTTTTCTTCTTTTTATTTCTTTTCATACCCCACCTTCCTCCTTCCTCCTGCGGTGCGTGCTGAATTTTTTTTTGTCGCGAGAAGGGTCCAGCCGTCCCTTTCCCTCGTCAACGGTGCTAACGTCGAAGTTTGGTACTCACGAGAGCTTTTTAGCTATATTTCGCTTTCACCCGCACATTTCATAAATTTTTCACCCCATGGGGATTCGAACTCACGACCTCTGCGACTAGCGGATTACGAGGATACCACTAGACCACCGGGGCGACCGGTAGCGGGTATAGATCAATGTAGAGCCCGATGATGACCCAATAACGCAACAACCAGTCTCGGCCTCGCGTTGGCGTTGTGGCTCGTCGTGTGCACATGAACAACCCAGCCTCGAGATGTGAAACATGGCACTTTTTCCTGATTGACGAATGACCCTAGTTGACGATGACTTCGTCTAATGTTCATACATTCCATCTGAGGGGTCTCGGCGATACCGCGCCATGCGCTGTCCTTGCGGCAGAGCGAAACGTACAGCCAATGGGACAAGCCAACGAACTTTTCAACTTATTGCCACCAGGAGACTTATTGTGAGGGACACGTGCACTGCATTCTACTGCTAATGGCTGATAGTGAGCGTAGAGCGTGGGTACAGATTTGGGAGAAGTAATGGCATACCGACAAGGGCCTTCTTGGACAGCAGTCGATTTCCACCGAAAGCATGCAACCCTTTTCAGCACACCCAGTAGCACAGATGAAGAGGAGGTGGCATTCGGGCCTACGTTACCAGACATACGATTCACAATGTGATGCAGATCAGTTGTGCCTTTAGTGAACAACGAAGAAGAGAAGCGCCAGCATGCATTTGCCGCTGATTGGTGGCAGCTTTCGGTACGCGTGCGGAAAAAAGCTTAAGCGTAGAAACTCAATCCGACGTTTGTCTACCCACACAAGAAATCGCAACTTTATTTCGTTGAGGGAGCGAAGGCAACGCAGTCGGTATCTCGCTTCTTGCCGGTCATCGAAATAGAAGGTGCAACTCTGTCACCTCTATGCCCTGTCCATGCGATCAGCAGAGACAGCATCATCGGTGCCGTGGTGCGATATGCTGTCCAACATGTGTAAGCTAAAACGCTAAACAGACGGTGTGTTCAGAGTCTAGACCCCGACCCCTCCGGGCACTTGGTTCTTAGAACGCCCGGATGACCTTTCCTGGTCCTCTCTCTTCACTTGTTTGCTTTCGGTGTCGCTCTCAAGGGATCCCTCTCATGGAGGTTTCCACCACGGAAGGCTCCGACCCCGACTACATCGCCAACGAGGGCCAGAGCTGTTTCCACTGCAAGACGCACCTTTACTCCGCCCTAGAAGCCGTCGCGGCGCAGGCGGGGGTTGAGTCCCGCTGTAGCAGCGGGGTTGCCGTGGAAGGTGGAGAGCCAAGCGCGAGTGCCCTCGAGGGTGGTGGTGCAGATGGCTCCGGGGGGATTGTTGAGGGAAGGCGAAGGGTGGTGCTGTTCAACGGCACCAACAAGGATGACAAGCGCGATACCACTAGGTGGGTGCTTGGGCCATCCTTCCTGTGGACGAAAGTACCGTGTTATTTCAGGGTATGCGACGCCGTTGGCACTTTTCTTGTTGTGTTGCACGTGGCATGGATGTTTGTTTTTTCGCGGCAGTTCACTGCGTGCGTACAGAAGAAGAAACACCCTAATCGGAGTTTCCAGCATTCGCTGATGCAACCCCGGCCGAAATCATCCTGAACACTACTGTAGACCTTCCACGCACCCAGCCATCCCGCATTACCTATCCCGGTGTTAACGGGATTCCAGGGTCGGTCCAAGAACTGTGGCAAGCGGGTTTGCAGTCGTAGATATCCCGTTAAACATCTCCTCCACATAACACGCCTTGGTGCGGTCTTGTTTCCTCCTGAAGTGTCGTGTTTCCCGAGCAACAGCAAGGATCCACCTACCAGCGAAGTCAAATAGGTGATGTATATCAACCCGACCCAACCTCGCTTGTGTGTGGGACCATATTGTTGCTGTCGTTGTTGTTGCAGGGTTGGCCTGAAGGCTGCAGCAGACTTTCAGGTGGCAAGTCCGATAGACATGCTGACGAAGGCAGAGGTGGGTGCTTCTCAGGCTCCTCGGGAACTGTGTCGATGGTAACGTGTTCAGTTTGTTCAGCAGGATAGATGTTCGAGCAAAGGAGGTGTGAACGTGCACGTACATGGTGTTTGTTTTCATGTGTTTGCACAAATACACGAGGCGTTTTGGTGTAAGCGCAGTGCCTTTGAAAAGTCGTGCAGAAGAAGGGCTTCGGCGCTGCGTCCGGCGACGTGGTTGTAGCGTCACAAGGGCGCGGGAACCGTAGCCCGCTACCCATGGTATCCAGGTTGTTGCCGCTAAACTCGAGGGGAGGAGAGAGGACAAGAAGACAAGTAGGTTGGAGGGGAGTCCGCATTGGCATTCCCATCGGTGGCATATGGACGAGTCGCAGATCAGCCACTCGGCCCCCCAAGTTCCGACGGTGTTGACCACACGCGTCTCTGCCTCTGAGTTTGTTGCCTGCGAAACCTTCCTGTAGCTCGCCCCATTCAAGCCCGTAAATCCGTTCAAACAGTTCCTCCTTTCGTTACGGGTAACATCCTGATGGTTCTCTTTTCAGGTGCGGGCTGTTGCCCGAGAGTTGGGTCTGCCGAACTGGAATCACGCCGCGTCTCCGTGTCTGCGGTCGAGGTTAGCCTTTGGAGTGCAGGCCACGCCGGAGAGGCTTGTTCTTGTCGAGAAGGTGCGTGCTGGTGCTTGCGTGGGTCACTGTGTGTGTGCTTGTTTAGTTGAAAGTGCGTTCGTGTATTTTCTCAATTAGCATCGACAGCGCCAACTGGCGAATGAAAAGTCGTCAGTCTTGTAGCGGACTAGAAATACGAACACTTTCTAATCAGAGGGTAAGGGTAAGGTTTCTCACGACAGAGGGGGTGCAGGAGCTGGAAGACAGTGTCCGTTGGCGTGTGCATGTTGTGCGTTTGCGCTTTCCTTCTGTCGAAACGTCCGTCCTGGCATGCGTATGTGACGGCCCTTTGGGCGGGGAGCTCTGTGTTGTAGTCCGCTCTCCCTTAACGGTACATGAGTTTTGGTCGACAGTGTTACTTGGTTCAAGTATTGCGACCTTTGAGTCGTAACGGGAAATTCAAGTCGTAGCGGAAAAAGGCAGACGCCCCCATGTCGGGCTTAGCCCAGAAAATGCGCGCAGTCTCATCGGATAAGAATCGTATGCGCTGTTTTCCGTGTATACATGGTGCTCCTCGGCCACGCTGGCCCGCCAGCCCCACGGAACGTACTAACCACCGAGAATCCTCGTTCGCACGTGGGCCCTCCTTGATACTCGTGCTTTTGTGCCATTTGATCATTGGTGGCGACCCTTGGAGAAACAGCTCTCTCGTGGCGTCTGTCAGTGACGCGAACACAGCCTATTTCTTGTTTCATATTCCAGCGTTGCGCATGCCATGACAAATGTGAACGCTCCCTGTTTCCTACCGTCAGGGGAAGAAACGAGATAGCGCTTGGGCCCTGGGCATGTTCTTGAACCATTGAACTTGGAGTGTTTGGTCGGTGTCCTCCATTTCAGCCGTGTATGACTTGACAACTAATCTCGATTTCGATGCCTCTTGGATTAATGTTGAATTCGTGTCCCGAAAATGTTCACATTGCCACAGGCGGAAGACGCTGCACGAAAACGATTAGACCTGGGCGTGTCCCACAACTTGCGCGTGCGAGCCATGCACGGCAACAAGGCCCTGCTTGAGGTGAGCATCGCATACAAGCCCCCCCTTATCCCGGTCTCGGTAGAAGGCCGTGACTCAAGCGCCGACGAACGAGTCCTATCATACTCCCGCTTATTTCCTACCAATTTTTTCAATACTCCTCGACAACAGAGAAAGCGCCAATGCCGATAAAGGGGTTCTTCCGAAGATGATCGCGTTTGATCTGCTGTTGACTCGTGTAACCTCCATGTTGGCGGGGGGAATAAGCTGAAGGGAACAGAACCCGCAACCTCGGAAGCTGACCCCGATTGCCAGAATATGACAATTAGAGCGTCTGCTGCGCATCTTTCAGTATCCGCACCACACGGTGTTACCGTGTTTTGTTCGTTCATGTCTTCATTAGCAGGTGATTACATGTTGGTTGAATGGAATGAGTACGATGCCCAAATATCTTCAAATTAACGCTGGGCGCACGGCGATACAGCCATCACCTTGGGGCGCTGTGTGCATCCCTGCCTACTGCATGACCAATATTCACAACTGGGGGCAGCATGGTGATTGTGTCGTTTGCGTATCATCCTATTCCCCGCTGCACGCGTCACTGCTCACTGCTTGCGTGCACGGCGATATTGTCTCTTGTTGTTTCACACACAAAACGCAGGTTGACGCCGGTGAAATCCTCGACGAAGCCTTGCGATCGATCGAGGACATCCGATCACTGATTCTGCCGCTAGGATTCAGCGAGGTAGACGTCCGACCCTTCCGAAGCGGGGCGGTTAGCGGCGGCCTCACGACACCGGTAGCAGAGCAGCAGAAGGAGAGCGAGGTGAGCACGACAAACCTTGACGGCGTCGAGGTATGTCGTGTGCACGGATCAGCGGCAGCGGCGAGAGGAGCTGGATCTTGACAATCACCGGAATTATGGTTGATGTGTGGTAGTGGTTATTGTTATCGGTTTGCTTGATGATATCCTGCACCGCCACGCACGCGCACGGTTCTGCGTGCCTATTCAAGTCGGACACCTACTGTCGACACGAGCGAGCAGGTCGAGTGCTTCTTCTGTGAAAAAAGGATAAGCAGAGGGCGCTGCTCAATTGCTGGTAATTCCGGCCGCACTTTGTTGTATAGAGAGTTTTGATGGCTGTTGGGCTGCGTTTTCCTGAGTGGATCGAATGCTGCAGCCGCTGTGCCTGGAGGAAGAGCATGGGCTTCTTGTTGGGTTTCCAGGTACGGGGCGGTGCTGACGAATGAGGCGTAAATACATCAAGCGAAGCGTGAAGCGATGGTGTACGTGTGCCACAAACGGTGGAGGGTTTGGGTTTTCATGATCGGCTGGCACCCCCCGATGTGTAAGCAATAATTTGGAGCAATTTATGGATACGTCGTAGCTATTGCTGTACACCTGGTATTGCCGTTGTGGCGTGGAAAGTTGGTCGGTATCTGCGATGCTGTACGTTGTTCAGCCTGCCTGCTGCTTCGGTGGGAGCTATGTACAACGGGGGAGTATCTACCTCCGTCTGCACCAGGGCCCACCACGCTCCAATCTGCCCCTTTGCCCTTGGTCACAGCCTCGCCGGCATAACGCTTGCCGAAGATGCTCGTGGAGTCTGAACTAACCTTCCGTTGATACGTGCATACCAGCACAGAGTCAGACATCTACGATACGCAGCGGGAACAGTGCTAACATTGCAACCCCTTGTTTTGTGACGCATCGCACGTGTGGTTTGGCCACTGTCTTGGAGCCATCCCCCATCTCTTCACGGCCACCACACATTCGTCGCAACTCGCCATCGCCAGGGCAGTTCATGGTTTGCGCGTATCGTGGATGTATGACTGTGTGCTGGTATGCACGCACCACCGCAAAGTCGCCATCGCTAGATCATGGTCTGCCGCGTACCTTACACGTCTGACGCTGTTTGCCGGTATGCACGCATCACCGTAAGCCTAGTTGTACTCCACGGGTGTCCTCGCCTATGCCGACGAGTTTGTAACTGAGCGCAAACGGGCAGAGCGGAGCTCGGTGAATCGTGTTGAAGATGGAGGTGAAGGCTCCCCGATTATACTTTGTTGTCTCTTGCTGTTCATCCTGGTGTTGCCGTTGGTATACCTCCACGGAAGTCCATTCCGTGGGCGACATCTGTGATGCTGTACACTTGATGGTTTAGCCTTGTTCCTTCCGGGGTAAAAGCTTAGAACTACACCGGGGGAGTCTTCACTTCAGTCTTCCAGCCACGACGCTCCGCCCTGCCTCTTTGCCCTCGGTCACAACCTTCTCGGCATGGCGCTACGATAGAGGTGACTGCCATTCCATGAGACACGTTCAAGACTCGCGCCGAAGACAAAAATTCTCGGACAAACATGCTTGGCCCCAATTGGTGGCCCTTCGCTACAGAAGCCGCGGAGGTCCGTAGACAGGGCACAGAAAGCGACGGTAGATGTGCGAGAAGAACAAAAACGAGCGTTCTGCCGACCAGGTTTATCCGTGGTGGAAGCGTTTTGAGGGTCCCAGGGAATGGAACGTCGACAGAGACTTCATCTCCGGGATTACCCCAATTAAGCAAGTTAGCTTGCGGGACTTTGGAAAAGCACAAAAAACAGTTCGTCAAACGCCAATTCACACAATCCGTGGTTTTGTACAGAGCGCCACCGATCATTCCCGTCCACGCATTATCTATTTTCCCATGCAAGCCCCAGTTTTTACATACACATCGCTAGACGGGTTTTCATGAGGGAAGGTACACCAGTAATTCATAGCGCACCGTACTCGCGGCAATAACGCCCACGCCACCTCGCCTCAGCGACTGTCATCGTCGACCAGCGGACTTCTTCTGCAAGACGTCGACTTCGCCTTGCAGCCTCCTCAGCGCTGATCGCGTCAGGGCAGTCTCCTTGCGGGCATTGTCCAGCTGTGAGCGTAGCTCCGCCATCTCCCTCTTCATGGTCTGGACTACCTCACTGTCCCCGCCTCGCCCTCTAGGAGGCGTAACGGAAGAGTCCGAAACCTTGTCCACGACGGTGGAAAGCTGCGCCCTCAGCTCGGCCACGTCCCGAGCCAGCTTCTGCACGGCGGTGTCTCGCCGTTGCACTTCGTTATTGCTAGCCGTCCCCCTCCCCTCCGTAGTTGTTTGCGGCGCTGTGGCCGACTTGCTCATGGTTTCCACTCTCGCAAGTGTCGAACGGTTGATCCCGAGCAGGGTTCGGAGCTCGGCCACCTCGAGCGACAGCTTTCTCACCGCAACTTCGGCGCGACCGTTGCCCTTCGTGTCGCCCAAACTGACGTCACCGTCGCTGCCGCCACCCCGGGGTCGATCCCTTGACACCGCGCCGCCTTTGCTGGCGCGGGCGGCGAAAGGGCCGGGCGCGGGTGAAATAATATCACTCCCTCCACCAACCTTAGTGTTGGATGATCTCTTGCTGTCCACCGCCGTATTTTCTGCTGGTGCAGCGGCTGCCGCTGTGGGGCGCGGAAGCGCCCCGGGAGTTCCATGACGCCGAACAGACGCTGCTGCCACCGTAGACCCTGTCGCGGTCGCCGAAGGTGGCGTGATCGCATCTGGTGCAGAGTTTCCGAGGTTGCGGTGGCTGCGGCTGCCTGTGGTGCTCCGAAGGTTGCCATTGCCTTTACGAAGGGGCCCGGCCGCTCCCGTTGGTGCCTCACCTCGATCGTTGTCGTTGTCGCCGGAAGGCCAGGAGGGGGGGGGGTCGGCTCTCCTGGGGTCGATCGGCGCCGATGGAGGTGGCGGTCGTCGTTGGTTGGAATATCGCGGGGCCGAAGAGGACGACTGCTCTTCACTAAGCTTCTGGGGTAAGACCTCAGCAGTCTTCCCACTTTCGGTGGATGCCCCGCCATTCGTGCTTGGGGGCCCCGGCGACGTCCAAGAGGAACTGAAAGGGGCGTCGCCGTTGTCGTAGGTGTACTTGCTCGCCATTTGCGGACCGGCGTACGCCTTTGACGAAATGTCTTGCGCCTGTCGAGCAAATTGGTTGGGTGTTGGTGTGGTGTACCGGTTGTTGCTGATTGGTCCGTGGTCATGGCAGCGGAGTTGGAGGCGAATGAAAAGCGTTTGGGGAACGGGGGGCACACAGGCTCCGCCAGACTCCAAAAATACGGTTACGTCACTACCAAGGTTGTGAGTTGTAGAAAACGGAAGGGCGGGGGGGCACAAGCGGCAGGTAGAACAACAGAGATGCTCTCGGCATGTCTTGAATATACGAGAGCAAACAAAAGGATGACAACCCCCGTTTGCCTTGATCCCGACAGGCCAGCGGGGCCGTAGACATGCCGGCCAAACTATCTCTGTCGTCGCCAGGAACAACGACCGTGGTTGCTGCGACCAGGTCACTGCGCGTCGTACGCACTTGTTACGTTGACATCTCAGCAGCCAGCACCTTGGCAGAGCGCCGTGTCCCACTACGACCGATGGCCTGCAACACACATAATTGTATTTACCATCGCCAATGTCGTCCGTGTACCTCACACAACCGCCACCCACAACTGTAGAAGCACCTTGCACTGCGAGCACATGTCAAACCGCGACAGTTCGTCCTCCGTGGTGGGCATGGAGCAGCGCGGGCAGTCGGGAAGGGAGGGGAAGGTGATGCCCTCGACACCAGATTTCTCCGCCGCACGCTGATTGGCCTTTATACCACGGTGCAAAAACGCGACAACCGAAGCACAACGTACGACGCACAACCCCGGGCATCTTTCTGTTAACGATGCTATTACGGGGCAAGAGGCTTGTTCAATGACGAGATAGAGTCACTGCCACGCTCACTCGTTCTCGTTGGAGGCACAAAAAGCAACACGCCCGAGTTGAGAAAACGGATGATTGGGGTGGGGAGACAAGGAAATGCATGTGCGCGTTCCGCGCCATTGCTGCAGCAGTCGATCGGGTAGATCGGCCTCTAGCCAGACAAAACAAGCAGCATTTCTTATGATGACATGTGTACCAAATACTGAATAAAAGTGGAGGTGGACCTCATTTCGTTAATGAGTGAGCATGAAACAACATTAATAGCGAGTCACCTCCAGCCGATTTGGCCGCGTCTAGCAGGCGGATGGCTTTGCACCACCGGTAAGATGTCAAGAAGTCCTATTATATTATGAGGTATACTTTCCCCCAGCAATCCGTAAGGCGTTCCACTATCACCTCATTGATCATGCAGCCATCAAGCATTACCCCAGGGATGGTTTGTGGTAGTATGCCACTCCCAGCAAATGAAAATATTGAGTTGTTGAGGACAACGTAATTTCTCAACAATGGTGTAGAAGGTCGGTCGGATCCTATCACCTTTGTCGTTTCCCTCGCCGCTTGAATGACCGGGTCCCTCTCATCCGCTACCGGAAGGCCGTACGAGTCGAAGTTGACACGTGACCCCACTTTCATTTTGTTCTTGAAATCCTGCCATGCCGTGGCAGTCAGTTGTTGACACCAAGGTGAAAGCCATCAGTCGTGTTCCGAGGCGACACGCTGTTAACGGAGAAGGAGAACTGGGGAAGGGGTTGACCACTGGCACTGCCTACCGCCACAAGCAGCAACTGCGACAACTCGGTGCTATTCGCTGAGACTGTTGCAGTATCAAAACGAATCAACACTGGGCAACAAAACAACGAAACACAGCGAAAGGCGTAGTGCGCCTCTGTTGCTGCGGCTGCTGTGCAACGTGCTGTATAAAAGACGAAACCTCACAGCACTGTTCTGCAGGAAGCCCTTCTCCGAAGCGAACACCCTCTCGTTGAGGACCTCCTTGACACGGTCTGGTGGCGGACGCTTCGGTAACCTCGAGGCAGCAGACAGCTTCTTCATGCTCGCCTGGAGCATGAAGGCTCGCTGCTGCTCATCGGACATGTTCAGCTCTTCGGTGATGCGCTGTAGTTCCTTCGAGGGTGTGAGCGAGTTGCAGAAGGGAAGAGGGGGGAAAGGGGCGTACCTCAAACGCGTAGCGATGTGGTTTCGCCGAGAAATGCACGAAGCATCTAAGATCCGGTTGTACGCAATAGTTTGAAGAAGTTTAGTTTTCCAGTTCGTATTCGTGTGGAACAACGAGACAAGCTGTACGGAGGGGAAGCTACGAGGATTGCCACACGCAGCGCGATTCAAGGAGAGGAATAAAATTATGGAATTTGCTTGTCGCATCAATGTAACCTCGCAAACATTGACACATGGATACTTTCGAGACAGGAATTTGACGCGGTTGGATCATCCACGGTTCGCACATCACTCGATAGCAGCCGACTTCGACCCGCTTTCGCGCCGCATCAGCTATAGTTAGGCAGGCCGAGACGGCTAGGGCTGTGTTGAGGGGTAGCATGAAGGTTTGTTTTACACACATTCTCATGTGTCTTGCCCAATACCCAAACACACGTAAACAACCAACATCAGACGCCCGACGATTTTCAGAAAAATGCCTGAGACCTTGAACCGAAAATCTGGACACGATCATCCCTCCTCCTCGTGTACCTCGCGCGTCCCCCACCACTTGTCACTGTACCTGAAAACTTAAGTCCTTGTCATCGATCGTCTTGCTCACGATCTCCTTAGCGCGCTCGGGTGTGCTACCCCACTGAGCGGCGAGGGCCCGAGCCTCTTCCTCCTCTCGCTCCTCCCTCGCGCGTGTCGGGTTAAACACGGAGCTCGCCTCGAAGCCCTTTTCGTTGGCGAAGACCTGTCGACGAAGGGCCTCCGCTGCCTCGGCGTCTGCTTCCGTGCAATGAAAAGAAAGAAAAGGTACGTGCCGGCGATGACAACGAGACAACACGCGGCTCCCTTCCGTGCCCAACATGAAAAAAACTAGAAACACTGCGCTACATATATCATAGCACCGCGAACAATGGGTGAGGGGTCGTTTACATCCTGTCTGATAATTATTGAAGTTTCATCTACGCTGAACCCATGGAAAAATCTTGAAAAACGGGCAAGTCGATTTTACGTCGGAGAGGGCATTTCCCACAACCACACTTTGAAAGTGTATTGAGTTCCGCCAAACTCTCCCGTAGGTTCCACTATGTTCACCACCGTAGCGAACTTTCTAGAACGGTTCTGGCGTGTGTTCTGTAACTCAGTGGATCCTACGAGCACGACATGTTGATAGTAGAGTGATGCGGGATGTACCGAACACGGCAAAGCTAGTGTCGGAAGACGACCTCCTTGTCTTCCTGTCCGTCCTTCACCCAAAACTACCCGGTAAAATGAAGACCCGAAGAGCTCAGACGACGAATTAAGACGGCGTCGAGCACGTGGTAATGGCTCTTCTTGTGGTGAAGTACTCGTTGGTGATGACGTATGAAAGGTACAAGGACGTAAACCTCTGTTTCAGGAAGCTATTTTGTACTCACACCCTTGTCCTCGAATTGGTTTGTACTAGACAGGGCGGGGTTCATGAGCGGTGGGGTGGCCAACTCAACCTTGCGGTAGTCTATTTTTGCAATGCGGATGATTCACGAATGCCGGCACACAGCAGCGTGAATCATTTGTGATGCAGCTACGTGTACCAGAGGGACAGGCGTTCGACGGGCGCGACGAGGTGGTTGTGTGTGCGATCCCCGTTCAAAATCTTGCACTTCACATGCGGCAATTTCGTTTCCGTTGATGCCAACCAGCCCACATGCACACACCCATGAAGAGCCAAAACATGAAGTCTTCCCGCTGTGTGAACGCAGACACACACATCTGGAAGAGGCACGCATGCGGCATATATCTGGCGGCGAGTGTATCACACACTCTATCGCCGAGGAGCACCAACCGCAGCGTAGACATGGGATTGTGACAGACAGATGCGTGACAGACAAATGGCATATATTGCGTCAGGCTAACAAATTACCTGCCACATTCGTCCCAGGCATTCCAAATTTCCCGCCAAGTGAAAGCAAATAGTCAACATTCCGGGATGTACTACAATACATGCACCTAAAGCAAAAAAAAATGCTGATGGCCATGACTTTGACGCGAGAGACCAAGCAGCAGCAACAGCAGGCAGGGCAGACACCTTTTTTGAAGACAGTATCGCAGCACAAGTACGCAACCTGAACCGATCCCGGGGAACCATCCTGAAAACGCAAGCAGTAGACCCTCACGGCCTCAGCAGTCTCCCTCGATGGTAGGTGTGCTCTGGACTTGGCAAGGTGTATATCTTTTGTGTGAGATGTCGTCGCTCTGCTGTTTGATTGAGCAGTCAGTTAGACCCACTAAACATCAATAAACACCCGCCAGGTTACACATGGCGCATGACAATACCCACGGCGCGCAGGTCGCATAGGCTCGACCCCCCCTGGTTTTCATAGCTGGTCTCGGATCAGCGTCCCAGCGGTGATGCGATTTTTGGTTGTTCTGCGTCTCTGTCACTGTCTCTGTTCTCTCCTGGTTTGAATCGCGCGCGGGCGATCTCCATCTTTGTGCTCCCCTTTTTGCGGAGAGAACCAGAGGTTGGGGAGAGCGATCTACTACGAATATTGGGCGTATACGCGAGTGAAGCACGGCCTTCTCTCGCCGATGCACGATCAAACCCGTGTGACGAAGAGTACGCCCTTTTTCTCCCTTCTCAGAAGCCAACAGATCGTGAATCGGTGCCCTGAGATCTTGTTCTGGTTCCAAAGGTGAGCTATTTAGGCTTCCCGGAAACCAATTATTGGGCCCATGCGTCAATTATTTGGCCCATGCGTCATGCGGCGGAACTTTGGCCGATACATTGAGCCTGATTTTTCCCTCCTGGGACGGAAGGAAAAGAACGGTCGCGCTTCGCGCTCCGCGGTTCATTACAAACTTTGCACGCCTGCACCACGCAAACCACGCTCAGCAGCGCTTCTGCCCCGTGTGATTGCTGAAAAATCCAGGGATTTGCCATTTCCCGTCCGACTCCGGTTATACACTTATGAGTGCACACGGGGCGAAACATCGGTGGGGACCCAACGGCCCTAACAACCCCCCTATTATCTATAAACTGCAGTACGTTGTAGGGGCGGGGAACGCGATCATGTCTCGGTGTCAGCCAGCGGACTTCTTGTCAAGCCAAAATCAACAGCCAGTGTGAAGAGAATAGGAAGGTAAAACACCAGCGAATACCAAATCAAGCCGAACGTGAAGCCACTTGCTTGATGAGGCCGTCGATGCACTGCTGTTTTCCTCGTTTGTCCAGTGGCTTCAGGTGGGGTGCACAAGGTGAACAGATGCCGCTCGACCGTTGTCCGAAGTGCAACCAATAAGAGGGCCGTACAAAATCTATCTGTGATTTGTGTAGCTTCGTTGCAACCATCGCTCGACTGCCAGCGGCAGCAGTGGACGGGGTCGGAGAAGACAGTCAATCCAGCCACTTGAACGAGGCGGTCCAGAGTACAAGTTGCGACTTTGTCGCCTTCCCCTCTTCTTTCCACCGCCTTCGACTCGAAGCCTGCCGCTACACGACTTCGACTTTTGAGATTTGAATCGCGTTCGTAGCGATTGATGAGCCAACCGGAGTGTTTTTGAGCATGCTGCCTCACCACCCCGGACTTCAGTTGCTACCAAATCTCTCTGTCCAGGGTGCCTGTATGACATGGTTCGTCTTACAGCAGTACATGCGCTGGGTGCCAGCCAGTCTACACCCGTACTGGTGTATACTCTGTAGTCCGGGTTGAGCAAGGGGGTAACACGCAGTGAGGGACGAACGGGAGTTTTAATTCTGCTATTCACCGTTCCTCGTGCGGTGTCGACCTCCAGTCTTCAACGCGAAGAAGGTTCAGCAATCCTTCCCTCTTTGTTGCACGTGCTTGCGACTATTCCCTCTCTAGGGTTTCGTTCGCGCAACCTATCTTGTAAGCAGTACAAGCAGTCCAATTGAACCATGACAAATATCCACGCCATTGTTTACCGGTGGTGCATATTGGTGTGCAAGGGCCGGGCGGTGGTTTAGGTTCATCACCTGCTGTGTCCGCGGCTGTTCGCCCAGGAAGATCTCCGTGGCTATTGCGATTCTCATCACCGGCATCGCCAACTCCTCCCTGATGCCGAGCAGCTAAGACGGCTGTGATTTTCGCTGCCGCTTGTGCTGGTTGTCTTGAGCAACACCTGTTGTTGTGGGGTGCGGCGGGATAAGAATGACTTGCTGTCCTCGACGGCCATCTGCTGCTACTGCAGGGGCTCTGGAAGTTGAACGAGTCTCCCGAGCGACTGCCGATGGCGAAGGTGAAGGTCCAGGCTATCTTGGGCGCTGACGGAGCCATGCCGTGTGCTAAGGGGTTTGACTCCTGTTTGTTTCCTTCTTGACGCGCAGCAGATCCGCCGCATTTTCGCACCCACCCTTCCGTCCACTGCGTTCCGCGTTTCGTACCCCCACGCAGAGCACGCACTTCAGGTGGGTGTCTATTGCACACACAAGGCAACTTGAAATGCTCTTCAGGCGCCTCCTGTTTCCAGCAGCAGCCACCTTGGCTAGAGCAGTAGAGGTTCGGAGTTTCACGTCGACTTCCGGAGCTGCTGGTGCCGTGCAGCATCTCTCAGTAAGCCCCCGCCGACAGCAGCTCGGTGCTTTTCTTCACGGTTCGGAACCGCTGTCGAGATCTAGCACGTAAGTGCAAATAAAAAACCTGTTCCGGAGCGTTCAACGCGTCTGACACCTGCAGGCGCGATATGTGCCAATCCGCTGATACCTGGCATGGTGAACTGCAATCGAAGGGGAAATTACAATTGCACAGGTCATAACTCATACTGGAGCGTGGAGGAGAGCGGATTTTTTACACTGCATTCTCAAAATCTTGCCGACGTCGTGTGTCTTCGGGCGCGGTACGCAATGTGCGGGTGAAAGCGAAATATAGCTGACAAGCTCTCGTGAATACCAAACTTCGACGTTAGCACCGTTGACGAGGGAAAGGGACGGCTGGGACCCTTCTCCGCAATTAAATTCAGCACGCACCGCAGGAGGAAGGTGGGGCATGAAAAGAAAAGAAAAATAAGAAAAAGCGCTGGTGTCCCTGTGTGACGCTGGATGGTTGTAGTTGTGCGAAAAAATACACTGAAAAGTGTAGTACCCTCCATACGCTGAAAAGTGTAGTGTACGTCTCGCCACGAAAAATGGGAGGACTGTCGCCATTATAAATAGGACGAAAACACACACACACACACGCTACAAACACAAGCGGCGAGCGTCTGCAGGTGGAAACGAAACCAGTTAAGGTTGAAGCCAAGAGATCCCAGTCATCCAGAGACTGCTCGAGTGTGATGGACACCGGCCAACGTGCGTAGAGTAACTTTCACCGGGGTCTCGGGCGTGGTCAGTAGTCAGTAAATGGCTCGTCCAGTTCGCTGTGCGGGACAAGAACATGATATCCCCCGCACGAACGGCACACTGACATGTACAGCGTACAGCAGGTTTCTTGAGCGTCGTGCAAACATCCAAAGACATTGGCGTGGTTTCAAGGCCAATCTAGATTGTAGTCCAGGATAAGCCGACGAGAAAGACCCAAAGTTTGACCCTTGGTTCACCTTTTTGGCGGAATGGCATATTGTGTGATGCAACATTGACAGGAGGCCCAAAATACACTGTCCTGCTGGATACACTTTGCGTGCAAGACATTTCGTCGCCAGCTATTTTTCCGCAAGACTTGAGAGGGCCAAGGACAGCGAGATTGGTAGCGAGATCTTCGGTTCACGCTTTTTCACCGGCGGACAGTGGACGACTGCTCGGGGGAAGAGCCCTCCCTTCGCGCCCCTCCAGCAGTAGTTGTCTGTTTCTTGCAATGGAAAATGTCAATCGAGCCCGAACGCGAACGCATCCCAACAAATGTCCCCGCGGGCGAATCACTTACGCAGGAGAATCATGCATTAAAGCACGCTTTTTGGCTCCAGTGAACAGAACACTCGTCGAACTCTGGTGAAGACCTAATGATGTAGCCTACCGGTACTCATTCTACCGGGTTTGCGCCATGTTGCACTCGATTCAGGATAAAATAAAAGAGCAATTTAATTACTGCAGTATGTGGGATTATTAACAGAAGATTGAGCATGAGGGTTACGAACTTCGCATGTTATGTTTGCTCGACGAGATGCCGGCGGTCAACTACCCAATATTGTACACATGGAATCGACCACAAACAAGGACTTGGTTTGCTCCACACAGGGGACGCACAGTCTCCAAGGTCAGCAGGGGCATGGCTACCGGAGAGAAAGCGGGTTCGGGGGAGATCCTGAACCTCAAGACTGCGCAAGACGTGAGTAGCAAGAAAAATGCCCTTCCATACTGCATGGTGACATTTTCACGTTTCGAAGTAGTGCCGGCGTATTTTCACGCACGCGAATTTTTTCCCTGTAATAGAGTTGCACAGGGAACACGTATCCCACGGCCATACAATTTCAATGCCTACAGGGTTGCGTTGATGGCGGCTTGAATTGTGCGGTTCCACAACCGAAGCGTCGTTGTACTATCGAAAACCATGCTGTGCTCTGGACAGCAACACTCCGAGGTCTCTGGTCTGCGGTCGCCTCTTCCGCAAGACTCGATCATTCCCACAAATCCGATTCTTCTCTGGTATGTTTATCTCACATATCTTAACATCGGCTTGAGATATTTTCCGCTTGTTTAGAATCTACATTTGCTTGTCAAGACCTCGCGTCGGTTGCAGATTAGTTATTATTGGTGGTAGCGGTTGTTCGCGTGTAGTGTGACGCGCCGACACGTCGTAAACGAAATGAAAAAGGTGTTAGGTAATATCCAGAAGGCGGGCATTCTTAACTGCGTAGTTTGCAGAATTCACCACCTAATTGCACTTGGACACTCAAGTTTACGCTGTGAGAGTTGAAACGCATCGCCTGTGGACGCCCTCTAGACACCATGAGGGATTCCTGGGAACAGTTTCATTGAACTGTATCTTCCCACGCCTTAATGCGTTGTACCTTCTCTGTCTCTGAGTCTGTTTATTTTCAGCCCGACATGGTTTTGCTCATCTTCCTTTGTTGTGTCGCGATTTGACAAGGTGGTGGATTTCTGGTTCGGCACCGACTTGGTTCGCCTGGCGTCGGATAGGGAGTACGGCCAGAGTTTCGGCGCAAAGTGGTTCGGCGTCGGTCCACCAGACCAGGCCTTCATCGGCACCCAAAATGCCTCCAAGGAGCTCATGGCGAAGGCGGGAAGGTATTCCGTGTACAACAGTAGCACGGGTTTTGTCGACGCGCGCAGAAGAGGGCTGAACGGGGGTAAAGTGCCAGCCGAGGAGAGACGCGTTGTTTTTTTCCATGTGGGGTCGATGCCTTTGAAGCTTTGTTTGTCTTGTAGCCGAAGGGGAACATTGAAGTTGGGGTGGAGCGTATTTCTTGCATTATATCTACGCCGGCTATGGGCCACAAACCGCAGAGGTCAGACCGACATGTCGTCCCCGGAGATGGGTGCGAGGTCATGAAACGCCTTTGCTTGGGCGGTGGTGGCTTGTTCGCCACGAAATAGTCGCCTTGTGCTTTTTGCCACAGTTCCTCTGCAAGTATGCATTCGCAGGACGCACGAAGTATAGATAGACCTCGAGTGGTTGATGTCCGGTTCTTATCCATCCCCAAAGACCGCCACGTTTTTCTTGTGTGTGTGGTGTGTGCACGATTATCCTGCAGTGGCGAGCTGAAGGGAGAAGAGTGGGAAACTCCCAAGGGGGCTCTCGCCAGGCTTCTGCTGCTCGACCAGTTCCCTCGCACAGTCTACCGGTGAGTAGGTGTAGCCCTCGTCTCAACGCTTGACGTCGCGCTTCGTACAACCGTTGATGGGCCGGAAAAGGATCAAGGCACTGCTGTATTCCAGCATTGATGGAATTCGAGGGCCGAGACCAGCATGTCTAATCTTCTTCGCCTTCCCTCTTCGACGGTGCGACTCTACTCGACTAACATGCTCCCCCCGTTTCCGTTGTAGGGGCACGTCACAAGCGTTCGCACATGATGAGACGGCCGCATCTTTGTCGCTCGAGATTATATCCAAGGGCTGGGACACCGTGGATGCCCGAAACTACACCTTTCAGCAGCGGTTGTTCGTGTATCTCCCCCTCATGCACTCGGAGAGGATTGAGGCTCAGGTGACGATAATCCCTTTTCCTCCTCGAACAAAGACCCCAAGGGGATTGTAGTCTCTCTTGATACGTTCACAATGGAAATAGCTAAGCTGCTCAGAACACACCCTTCGCACGGGGGTTATACAGGAGGTGTCAGATGTCAGCATGTTCGTCGATCAGTCCAAGACTACACCCGTCGATTGCCAACCGTCGAAGCTTCTCAGCTTTCGTTCGATTCACAGAATAACGTTTTGGACTTCCACCGTACAACGGGTCTTGACAACAGTTTTGCCTCTCGAGTTTTGTATCATTTGAATATTGATACGACTACAGGACGCGTGTGTGTCCAAGGTCAAGGCCCTGGTGGACGACGAGATGAAGGCCACCGGTAGCGCCGATTCCTTGGTTCATGATATGGCACTGGAACACCGCGGAGTCGTAGCCAAGTTCGGAAGGTACAGCCGTTCAAGCGGTAGGGTATTTGTTTGAGTGAAACGTTAAATTCGAGAGTAAACAGCTCGATGATCTTGCCCAATGGTTAGTCTTCATCGCGTGTGTTGTGGCCACAATCATTTTGCGAGTAAGGTTTGTATCTCGAAGGCAACATTTGCTATCCATCGCTATGCACCTAAACAGGGGACTACAAACAGTTGTGACCCCATTTGCCATGCGAAGGCTACGTTCTTGACACTTGAAGGTACAGCTAAGTGTGACCGGAGTATGGAAGGCGGAATCAGAGCAAGAAAATAAATACTTGCCAGTTGCCTACTAGAGCGAAACCTCACTAACGAAAAAAAACTTTCATTCCTCGATCAATCCTGTCGAATATTTGCGTCTCCTCCGATGGAGATAGGAAACAGACGCGAGTTTAGGCCCTTTCCGCACCATGTAATGAGCGCAAATCAGCTACCGCACCGACAGACGTGCGGACCTCAGAAATCGTTGCCGAGATACGCCATGTTCGTGTCTACGTTAGGAAAATTAACCGTTTCCTCTGGGTTTACAACGTTTAGGTTATGTGCGGGAAATCCAGGGAACATGCCGCGCTGAGACCCTCTCGCCATCGAAGGCAGACATAGTTGCGTATGACGCATGTTGCGAGAGGTGCTCCCACATCCTTCGCAATGAACACCAGATCTCTTCAGTAACTTTGTATGTTCCCGTGGTAACGGACCAAAAATGACAGGTTCCCCCACCGCAACGCCGCACTCAGACGTGAATCC